TTTCACAAATTCAAGTTTTACAATAACCATATAATTCAGTGTATTTAATCGCCAGTAGTATCTTAGCATCGCTGTTTCGATATGTCTAATTTTGTTTGGAACGCTGTACCAAGAAACAATACCAAACTCTTGCGATATTTTGTGGCACCACCTATTCGACCCCCTCCCTTTCATTCCTAGTATAAATATTTATTTTTAAGTTGCTTTCGGTTAAGGGATATTTATATCATTACATCAAAGTGAAGAATGCTCCCAAATTATGTGAATATTAGACGCTGTATGTACATATTATTTTAACATGTATATGGATCGACAGTCTACAGTTACCCATTGCTGGTTGCTACCATATATAGGTTAAGTTATTAACTTACACTTTTAAGACACTTTGTTCACAGCGCTACAAATTTGTTAATCGGCGACAGTGTGGTATTCTTAAGCAAAGTAGTTCTCCTGACAAATATGAGACCGGCAAACTCCCAATAAGAGAAGATCCCATGAAGAAGGGTGGTGTTCTGTAGTCGATAACTTGACTGCATTTTAAGTTCATTGAGAAATAAAGATTGGACACATTTAAGTAACAATGAAAACAATATTTATTTCAACATAACATAAACAGTGTGCGTACCTATGTACACAGTAGTCTAGTTGATGAATAAATAACTTGGTAACTTTTATTCTCTCAAAATGAATCTCTGCCGACCTAGTCATTTTGAAAACCAAGTAGGACTGAACAAAGAAAGTGTGTCTGGGAAAAAATATTGTAGAGGTTAATCGTTTGAAGTTAAGCACAAAGCTACACGAAGGGCTATCCGTGTTCTGCCCACCACGGGTATCGAAACCCGGTTTCTAGCGTTGTAAGTCCGCAGGCATAACGCCTGTGCCACTGAGGGGCGAAGAGTAATACTTATAAAGCTAGAAAATAATTAATTCTCTGCTGATCATATTACGTTAACGAAGAGCATTGTTTAAAACATTACAGAAATGTTAGACGCCATCATATTTCTAACACTATTTGAATATAAATATTGCGCAGAGTTTAAATAAGACGGCAGTATTTTAAAATCAGCAAATGTTACTGATCACATCTTCAAACCTTGCCTTTGTTACGTGTTTGGCAATGCATTGGTGCCCCATGTGCTCTATTGTGATTTTATTACTACTAATTATACTGTAATATAATTTACAGTTTCGAAGTAAACGTCTTACTAAATTTCTAAAACTATCCTTATCATAAAACTAAATCTTTTATAATTAAACCTGCATTATACTTCCCCATTTTAACTTTTATATTGACTTTTTTTTTTAATATCCGAAAATGTTCCAGCGTCAACTTTGCGTTATGATACTAAGCAGTCTTATTACTTGGACCTAAAGTTATGATGTGCTATTTGTCCATCTGGAAAAGTTGTAGTTGAAGAAATACCAGATTTATGCTACACTGTTTAATTATGTGGCAGAACTGTGATGGCACATTACATGGTATGGACGCTCTTAACTTGCTTATTCCAACCTCTTTGATCTCCAACAAATGAACACTTAGGGCACACTAATTTTAACCACGCTGCCAGCAGAATTGCACTTCAAAAATCTGATGTTCAACTTTGGGCATGATTGTGGGTAAAACAAAATACGCTGCCCAGAAAACTAATGAATGAATATTTGTTGTAAAATTCTTACCAATGCTACAAGTGTAGCTGCCAATTGTGATTTCATTTCTTTACCTTCCATGCTCAATCTTTTTTTTTTTTTTCTACACCTAGTCTTTTTGGATTAGATACACACTATCAAACCGAAGCAAGTAAGACTATAGTAACAATTAGCTTTAGGATCGCAACCGTATCATTTGGGAACAGACCTATACTTTACAGAACCAACCAAATTTTTCCTCTCTAAAACAGTTAATAACTTTATAGTAACGCCATGGAATCCAGAATAACAGTTTCTTGTCATCACCCGCATGCACTTTGTACAGCCATGTCAAGATTCATTATTTACGCTAATTACTTAAGTTAATATCACGTGACACCAAAAGCTCTTTAATTAAAAAAGCTTCTTAAATTTTAGCAAATTTATGCTTAAAAGTTGGCAGTCAGCAATAACCGCCCACTCCCCCAAGATTCTTTTGAAAACTTGAACTAGAAACTGCCAATCTCGTTTGCTTGGCTTAACCAATACTTGTGTATATGCACGCCCTTTGCTGCTCTAATTCAGTCTTTAATCCGAATAACAAAAAAAAATTACAAATGGTCCATCTGTACTCTTGGGCGGAGCCGTCTCAAAACTTTCAGACCCATAGATAGCTCATACGAGTTTGCGTAGGCGTGAGCAAAAACTGTCAAAATTGAGTGTTTTTTTTTGTTGTTGTTTAATAACTTTGCACACGTGGCTTATACTTGTACCAAATTTGAGACTAAATTGTAAAGATCTGTCAGTCTACCAAATTTGAAATAAAATAAGCTAAAAATTCATTAAAGTTAGGTTTTTCTATCAAATAAAGTCTTCGTACTTTCGGTGCGAAGAAGGGGAAAAAAATACAGGGAAGAAATTAAATCAAAAGTGGGTATTTTATATCTCGTGTATTTTTTTAATGGGTTGTCTTGAAATATGATGTGAAGTAAGAGTCCAGTAGAGCACATCCACTGAAATTGAGAGTTTGGATTACCATAGTCCGAGCTACAGAAAGTGGAAAATTGCTGAACTATCACTCCTGTTAATAACACTGTGTCCTGCTGATTGTTTTCGGTGCACGACTCACTACCGCGTGTTTTGATTATAATAATTTTCTGTACTCAGAAGTTTGCAACATACATGACTGAACAGCGTATATTGATATCGGATAGTAAGTGTCTGCAGAATTTACGAAATGTGTATTAGTAACTTTTTGTAATACCTTCGAAGTTTTACTTACAAAACTTGCGATAGTAACTAACAGGTAACTCGTGTTAACTTCGAGCCCTATCATTACGTGGATTTGGACAGTGATATTTACCATTGTCCAGTCATCTGATGCATCAAGAATAGATGTTGACTTTTTTTTATGCAATGATCAACATTAGTAGGTTAGGGTATGCACTCCGAGGGGGTATGACCCTGTTGGTTTCTCTATAGTTTAAGATTTTTTAATGTTACATTTTTGACTAGTAAAGATTTCTCCCGACATTATACAGAAGGGCCGTATTTGTCAAGACGTATAGCTGGTTTTAACTTGTCTTGCGTTCATAATGGGGTGGTTAAAGCAGGATTTTGATCAAAATCTTTCACTTTGGATTTAAGAGTACGGAACTTCGCATAGTAATACATTTAAAAATAATTATTTTTGGATAAGGAACCCAGTCAGCAACGCACCCTTGTGGTTGCAGTGATAACTAATGTCTCACCGTTCTAAGCTTCACATGTTGCATATATAACATTGATAAACCGAAGTTGCAGTACGTGAACAGATTGATATGGATAGTTTTGACAAAAATGTAGCAGTCGCCATTTTCAGAGAGCAGTGGTGATCTCTCGACTCTGGATTTAAGAACATCGTGGTGAGATTTAGTGAAAACTGACAGTGTGTACAAGATAAGTCAGAAGCAACATTGTACATTTGTTAAAGAGATGTTTGTAGATTGATCCAAACCAATTTTGGAATAGTAATAAAAACGACACTTGTTTTCTAAACAAAGTCGTCCAGGAAACAGAAGGCCCACGTTGCAATATTAGAAGGTGACTGCTTTATTCCCCAGACTGTATATAGCATGCCAGTTACAGGAAGGTAAATTAGAAGAATTCAATCATGAAAACCAGCCTTGGGCTACATCCTTGTTCAAGATGGGTGAAATGAGATCCGACAAGTTACTGCTCGAATACTGTAAGAGGCCAAGATTGTTCAAATGCTTTCAATAGGAGCTTCTCATACATTCCAAGAATATGCAACTATCGTGTTCCTGTAAACAGCTAAAACAATGTCAACAGACTGTACATATTACGGGATACACACATGCCAGATAGTCTGAAGGCTACATCGAGAGGTAAGAGAAGGGTTACTCCAATATAAAATATTATCAGTAACTGGTAACGCTTTTTTCGTAAATGGCAACAAAACTATATTGTTCCATATAATGTCAGAACAAGGTACCTCAAACGAAATAGAAAGCAAAGAGGCTTACAGTACCATTGGTGAATCATTACTATAATCACCTAGCAAGGAAGACAAGAGTCACATTGATCTATGGTCATACGAGGAAGCCGACACAAAAGAATGATGCTGCATCTAATCAGATGTTGCATACAATGGGCACAAAAGAATGATGCTGAGGATTGCAGACACAGATGTGTCGGTCATTCTGTCCAACTTGGAAATAAAAATCCTGTCACTGAAGCAAGTTTCGGTTGGAGTAGCAAACACCACAGGTCATCGTCGCACGTGAAACTCCAGCCACCTTAAGCCCCTTGAAAGTAAAGAGATTATCAACGTTTCACGCATTTACTGGGTACGATGTAACAACATTTTTTTTATTGGAAAATGCAAAAAGGGAGCATGGGACACAGGATGTATTCGTTGATGTCAGATATGCGTTTCTGACACTGCAAGAAGCCCCTACACATTCTTGACAGTACTATGGAGCTACATTCAAAATTTGTTGTACTTATGTATGACAGAACCAGCAAGATTTAGTTACCCAATCCTGCTAACTGGGGGTTGGGAAAAGATAAGAGGGGGTCCTTCGTACAAACCAAGATGGATAAATCTTGGCCAGGTTCAAGAAATACTATGAGCTGATATACTGTATTTATAAGAAGGCATGCAGAGACCTGTACAGATATTCCAAGGTCAGCTTGGAGCGCAAGGCTCATGGTTATTCTGAAGAAAACTTTAACTGGATTTATGCCATTTCGTTCGCCATTTATAATTTTGATGACTGGCTGTATTACCTCAATACTGTAGTCACATATTTAAAGAAATGATTTGGTATAGATAAGTACGTTCTGTGATGATTAGTTTCACGTACTTGTGGAAGCAGCTAGTTAAATAGTATTCCAGATTCTTGCGACATTTGCAACTTACGTTCTGTTAAGTTAAAGGTTATTTCATGGTAATATTTGATTGAGAGAGGGATAAAGATACAAAACAAAAAATACATTGATGTTTTAGAGATTGTGTCTGTGGGTAAGCGTATGGAACGGACGAATATCAAGAGTTGTTACTGAATTATGAATATAAGTACTGTTATTCATGAAAACATTCACATTTATTATTTAATATTCTTCAAGTATCACAATTACCATGTGAAATAGCCTCTTAATGAATCTTGAAATCATAGGCAATGCAAGATTTTGATAAAACACCAAATAAACTAGACAACCGTTTATAGTAGTTACTCCTATAGCCACCACGTGGCAGTGCTGACAAGATTCCGTATCTATATATTTATGTAACTCCGCTTTCAAATCCAAAAGTAAACTTGCATTCTGTAAGACACTCGGCCAAAAATATTTATTTTAACAAGATACTTCGTATTTTAAAATAAAATGTATTTAAACTCTGGTCATCCGATTTGTTGTGTAATGTACGTTACTCAGAAATTAGTAGTTAAAGCATAAATTCCATTCTTAACTTTTAAAAGATGAAGTAGAATTTGCAAAACTGCTTATTACAATTGCATGACAAAGGATAACAAGCTAGAGATGATTCCAGTAAAGCAAAGCAGCAAAATAACATTCACTCTTCAGATGGCAGAGCTGCAGCATCTTCTTGCACCCGATCTTGAAGAAGAAGAAAAAAAAAAAGATAAAATATTCACATAATGTATTTTTAGAAATTTAGGTAGCTCTTCAAAATATAATATTTATTACAATAGTATTATCTTTAACAAATCCACATATTAAAATCCCTAAACAACCTGCATGTAGTGTAGCCACAATTACACACTTTTCCCAACATTTAATGGATAATACTAGGCCACATCTCATAATACTATGTATGAATAGTAACCAGTGGAAATTTTCAGCATGATCTTGTTAAGTGTTCATAACACTAGTACGTTCTTAAAGTGTTAACTGAAGAGGTAGACCACCCAGTCCTACACATTTATTGGTTAGATTTTTTCATAACGCAGCTTGTAAGTAAAGCTAATGTTATGGAAATAAGTTAAATTTAGGTTACACACGAGTTTATTTCATAACTATGTAATTGTTAGTAGTGTTCATAAATCTGGGAGAGATAATACCGCCTTTCAAATTCATTTGAATTTATCATTATACACGAATTAAGAACATAAAAACCACTAACCATTAGTATTTTGATCTTCTGGACTATTTGGCTGTTCTGAAGGCACACAATCCTTTTCTTCAGACTTAAAAGAAAATAAATTTAAAACTTTTACACTACGATAGAGTTAAAGTTAATAGAATGTTTGGTCACACACACAAATATTTCACAGTTAACGTAAGTACCGATTTAGTCCCAAGAATAACTTGCGTATGCATTTCTAGGAAGTTTAAATAAAATTCAGGATTTAAAATTATCATCACACGATATTCAAGCAGAGGTCTTGAAATATTTGTGATAAGTTGTGGATAACAGATAGTTACTTTAGTACGGTTTATTACAGTTCTTACTCGGACTTAACTGTGGACTTTATTGTATGTTTTACATCCCTATTAATAATGGATTATGGATGCTATTTTTTTTTTTATGCACACACACACCTCATTCCATCCCCCTAACGATTTTAGTATAATCAGATCTCATTTAACTATTTAAGTTGTGTCAACGTTTAATGGATTCTAGTTTTAAATGATAGATCTGTTAAAGTTACTTCAAAGAAAATTCACATTCAGCTAGTACCTTGTTCAAATTTTCATTAGCAGCTTTTTCCATTTTCTCATCTTCTTTAATGTTTGTAGCAGGAATTTCTTCGTCCTCTACATCAGACTGGTATTCTAAACTGTCTGTGCTCTCTTCCTCAGAAGGCTGAAATTTACATAACTTAGTTTAATACTTAAAATTTTAGCAGTTGATTTTTTAATGGTCAATATATTTGGAAAGAAAGTTTTCCTGCGTTACTCTAGACTTCAAAAAGGATTTTTCACCGTCCAGTTTCAGGATATAAAGAACTAACATTTTCCAATTGGGTGGTGGTGGTTCCACACATGTAAGAAGGAACAAATCATAGTTCTATAATTTGAATGTCACTTTGATAAGTACATTTGTAAAAGTATCCGCGTGTCGCTTTTAAAATCTTAAATAACCAACGCATGTCTTGTTGTTTCTAAATAACAAAAGTTAATTAATCGACAGATTCAAAATATCTTACAACATAATCTGGATCTTCTGAAGAAACATACTCGTCTATTTTGGCCAGCATCTCCAATCCTTCACCGTCTTCACTTCCAGATTCTATAGCTTCATATTTACGTTTAGCTCCTGGACTTTTATGAAAGTTATCGTTTTTGCTGTCTAATAATAATAATAAAAAAAAAAGATCCTTGGTGTTAGTCAAATTGAATGAAGCAGTGAAAACTTGAGGTTAAATATCATACAATTTTAACATACGACGTCTTTCTAACAAAGGACTTCAGCAATTTAAATTTTAATACCTTACAAACAATCCATTTTCATATTTTACATAGCGGTCTTTAAGAATCAAATCCATTTTACTATATGCAAACTATCAAAGCCAATTCTTCTTTCGAGAAGACTACCCTTTTAAATAGAACCAAAACAATTATGACGTCAAATTGTAGAGTATGTATGTATGTCGTACAGGGTGATTATAAATTAAGTCACATTCAAACTGGTTATGTCTTTGAATCTATTGTCGAGGGGGATAATTTTAGAGACATTGAAAATCTTAAATTATATTTAGAAAAATATGACCATGATACAGGGCATTTCAAAACTACATTACACACCCAAGTTGTTTTTCTCGCAAACTAGTATTGATTTTATTTATCTATTTGAACAATAAGAAATTAGCGATTTGAACAAAATGTATAGAAGTGTGTATGATTTTACAAGAATCGTTTAACAATGTCCAGAACGGATATTTATAGTAACTTCATTGAGAAATAGGCTTAATACGCCGGCTGATCATGTCGGAAAACAACAAAAAATTTTCTCGAATAAAATTATGATTCTAAATGAGCCTGGTGAAGTTTTACCCATGAGAGTAATTGAACAGTCATTTTAAACACGACGTTTCCTTTGCAAGTCACGCTATACTTCAGGGAGTTATATAAACAAATCAGCATTTCGGTGCTAAATATTATATTGAAAGCTGAGCACGCAGGTAAAGCTCAACATTCACTTTTAAAATAACGGGACAACAGTCATGAATAATGTTTATGCCAAATTTTATTTCCCAATCAGAATATTCCACAGTAACTTGTTAGGAGGTAATCACACTACCATTCACATTTCAAAATGAGACGTAACTTAAAGATTAAAAATGTAGATTTATCGTATGTTATTGTTGAACTGCTTTAGCATAACAAATGCTCAGTAATTACTTTTTGCGGTGAGCGGTATAAATAGCTCAGAGCTTTGGCTCCTAGTTAAACCAAGAGTAATGATACAAAGTTTGAAACTATAATTAAGAATGGAGGAGCCCAAAACTCAGATTTGCGCTAATAATTCAGCTTCGAATGGGCAGAAAAGATGAGTTGTTCAAAAAGATTAAAGGATCAAACCCAGTTAACAACAGATAAGAAGTGCTAATGATAGAGTTTTCCCAAGTGTATGGTGTTCCAAAAGACAAGAATCATTAGAAAGATAAGAACAATCGTTTTGATTATTTTATTCTACGAATTATGAAAGTTGTTAATTGTGACTTGTAAGCGATTATTTGAAGTAGCTAATCAATTAAGAAGTACGGTAATGTAGCGACTTTATGCAGTTTTGATAGTGTCCATGTATACACAAATACAAGAGGCTAAACAAATACCATAAGAAAAACTATCTCACACTAGAAAGGTTAGATTCATAGTAATCTCTCCGAAACAGTTCTTTAAATTAAGAACTTAGTTATATCCTATTTGATGGGTAACTTTATTTCTAGGAGTAGGTTCCATATTTTTGATTATTATTGAAACCAAAGGCATTAAAAATTAACCTTACGTGTTAACTGCAGTGAATGTTTGGTGAGGCGAACGACTTTTGTAGAACACAATTCATTTTACATTAAAAACCTTTGAAACTACACGTATATTCTACCATTACATACATTGGTTATGATCAGCATACAATGAACAAATACGTAGACACTGGTTTTTCTGGTACAACAGGAACAACGTGTAGGTCAGAAACAGTTAAAAGAATATACAAAATAACTATTAAACAAGAAGTTATGGTTCAATACCGTACGCGGGAGAAAGAAGAGCTTAATCACAGTGTGGAAAAAGAAGTAATAAACATGGTTTAAACGCAAAAGTGCAAACATCTGAAATACTCTTGCGACGTTACGTTTATCATTATTATATAAACAATATTTTATTTATATATTGTGGTCAACAAGTACAAGTAGATTAGAACAAGGGAAAAATTCAATTGTTAATGACAATGCTTATTCAGAAAGTTAATTCACTTGGACAACAGTTGGATGTAACAAAATTTGGATACTTAGGATGGGTGGAATGTTTCAAAGGCTAATTTAGAATGAAAAAAAAAGACAAAGTTGGAAGGTGAAGTAGAAAGTACCGATTCAAACACAATCGCTGAAGGTAGTAATGGTGCCATGTCAGCTAGGCAATGGCTCATTACAGACTCAACTGGTCAAGAATTGTTAGATGAAGACGCTACCATCATGAAGAGTGTGGTGATAGTGAATCTGGCATCGAAGTTATCCATCGGTCGAGCTAATGTCTTACTACAGTCTAGTCATAACAAGGTTTAAAAAATATTGTGTGTAAAGATGACGACGAAACGAGTTTTGGTTAAAGGTGATGAGACGCTTCGAAAGAAAACGAAACAAAAAAAAAAAATAGTTTAAGAACAGTTTGCGATTACGGCCATCTTTGGAAAGTGATCTGTTGTATATTTGGCCAATAATATGGATTGCGTTCTGTAAACAAGTCATTGGGTAGAGAGAGAGAGAGAGAAAAAAAACCTAAGGTAATAAAATGCCACTGGTTATAAAAGTTTCTATAATTACTGACAACGTATAATAAACGTTCACTTTACATAGTTGCTCTGTTTCTCAGCTGCAACTTTTAATGTAGCTATCGATTGCTCACGTATTAGTTTTCGCCGTATTCAAAGTGTCTGAGTCAACTATTATGACGTCTCGATAATTCGAATAAATTGGTTCACTACGGTGCATTTAGACTAACTCTCACTCTATAAATTAAATACCAGGTACACATATTTATATTAGAATAATCATAACTGTAGTTCTTATCTGAGCATGATGGGATGGGAGGGCTTTATTTAAAAATATTTTGCTAATTTTACGTGATGTGTTACTTTGAAGTAAGTTTCGAGCAAGTCCTATTTAAAATCACATTTAATCTTTTGTCTAAATAATACCACTTTCAACTGAAAGGTTAAATAAGGAATCTTTAATACTGTTTACTTATGTCTACATGCGAGATTTTTTTATGCTCATCTACAATGTAGGTCATGCTTTTAGGTTGATTCTAGAAAATAATGTCCAGCTTAGACTTTATCATGTTAATACTAATTAATGAAGTTCCAAAAAATATTACCAAACTAATTTAAATACTGTAAAATGTGAATAAGTTAGGCATCCAACGTTGCAGAAAAATAGTGCTCAAATATGTTGCATGTCCATGCACATTGACAATTTTGAAAAGATTAAATAAAAAATAAGGTAAGATTAGATTTTAAACAAAATTTAAGTAAATTAATGAATATAAAATGAAGATGTATTTATACGGAAACAAGTTTATTTCTATATTTTCACGTCTTAAGTCTAACTTTCGGTTGTGAAAAAAAATATCTTAGACAAAGTAATGTGTCGTGCGGCCAAACGAACCTGCAGGACATCGTTATTAACATGAGTGATAATTTAGCACTTTTCCACTATCTGTAGCTCGGACTTATGGTAATTCAAGCTGTTACATATTCAGTAGACATATATTTTTACAGCCTACAATTAGGGTTCATATTTGGCCCAAATGAGTCACTAGTGCAAGGTTATTCAACAAAAACCGCTCAATTTTGACAAACATTTTTGCGTATGACTAGACAATTACGTGAGTTGTCGGTCTGAAATTAATAAAAGTAAAGGTGGGCCGTTTTAATTTTTTTTTGGTCATTCGGATTAAAGACTGCCGATTTAGAGCAGCAACACTATAGGGTGAAAGCACTTGCAGATACACAATTACTGGTTAGGCCAAGCATACTAGATTAGCAGTTTCTAGCTAATGTTTTCAAAAGTCACAAGTGGACGATTACAATTCATTGCTAACTCTTAAGCATAAATTTGCTAAATTCTATGAAATCCTCCGAACTAAAACCCGTTCCCTTGGCTGTGGTTTCGCTACATAGTAGATAGGGACAGTGGGAATCTCGTTAATCCATTCATGCGCGTCACTAATTAGATGACGTTCCCTTGGCTGTGGTTTCGCTAGATAGTAGATAGGGACAGCTAATGTTTTCAAAAGTCATACAAGTGGACGATTACAATTCATTGCTAACTCTTAAGCATAAGTTTGCTAAATTCTATGAAATTCTCCGAACTAAAGAGCATTTAGCGTCACGTGGTATTAGCTTAAGCAGTTAACTTAACTATGCGTGATATGGCTGTACCGAGTGCATGCGAGTGATGACAAAAAAAACTGGTAATGTAGTTTCCATGGTGTTAGTACGAAGAAAATTATTAACAATGCTTTAGAGAGGAAAAACTACCATATTTTTGAAGAACCTGGTTGGTGCTGTAAAGTATAGCTCTGTTCCGAATAATAGGGTTGCGATCATAAAGCTAATGTTCATTTGTTACTGTCGAGTGTCACTTTCTTACTTTGTGTATTTTTTTTTTTGGTGTGTATTGACAAAAAGGCATGTTATCTAATCAAAAACACCTTAGGTCTGAAAAAATTGTGCAAAAGAGGATTGAGTGTACGGCTTAAACGAATAAAAAAAAAAAATTAGACTGCCAAACTGGCACTGATAAGAATTTTACATGAAATAGTTATTTATTAGTTAGCTAGGCCACGTATGTTGTTTTACGCACAAAGTTCAACAAAAAACGCAGCCTGGCTAACTGGAAAAACAAATTAATACCCCCCCCCCTTTGACATGAGAAATCTTGATTATAAAATTAACTAGAAAAATCAGCCAAATACATAAAACTAGAGTTTGTCAAAAAGTTGTGGAAAGTTCATCGATCCAAAACTTAAAACTAATCATATCTGAAAGTTATTTTCCCGAACTCCTGACGTTTGGTGTCCTGAAGCAACTTTGGACGTCAGCTGTAAAATAAACCATTTCTTTCACAAACAAAAGTTGGACTGAAGAAACCACGTGAAAATGCTGACGTAAACTTGTCCTATTCAGCAATAGATCTTAACATTGTTTTACATTAGTTTCATTTTCTGGTGGTTGGGGGAACATACCTATTGACGATGGCATGGTCAACTGACAATTGCTTACAGAGACCACTCCTAGCCTTCTCAGAATCCATCTTGGCAAACTTAAAAGCCGGTACGAAAATCCAACCTTTTTCTTTGGAGTTACCTTTAAAACGAAGTTTCTCTTATAGAAAAAACAAACGTACAACATACTAATGTTTATCTTTGAATACATTATAAAGGATCATATTAATGTTATATAAAAAACTAACAACTTATCGTTCTTTAGTACAATGACACATGCAACATATCGATAACCTGACCGTGTAAATATACAAAACGATTAACTTACAATCTCCCTTCCCTTCTTTGAGTTTTTCACAGCTAGATGGCGCTGCTTAGCTGCATTTCTTCGTAGTCTTCTCAGTGTTCGACGAAATGATCGAATTAGCAGTGCCTTAAAATAAAGAAACTTGTTACCAGCGGATCATTGGTTAGTTTCGTGAAGCGTTTCGAATTTACTAGTAAGTGAGACGAACGAGAAGGCTCTATTTAAGATTCCCCATTACCTACATACCACCCAGCAGCAAGTCCAAATACTTATTACTCTAAATGTTGGCTTTCGACACCAGTGGAGAATAAATACACTATTATTTGGCTCTATACTTAAGCCTAACACGGTCTTAATGCCCTTGCACCCTTTCGAATTTTGTAATAGAATAAAATTCAAGTTTCTAATAAAAGACACAGAAAACTTCGTCTATTAAGTTGCTCATTTAAGAACTTCACGAAACTGCATTTGAAAGCTAATTTTAGAGATACGGGACTCTCAATACTTTAAACATATCGTCACTATTTAATTTTTGATTTACTGGATAGTTCAGCAAAGCCTGGTAGTTTGGGTGCTCAATTCGCAATCTGTGGGTCACGGGTTCTAATCCCCTTCGTCGAACATGCTCCTCCATTTAGCTGTGGTTGTAGTTATAATATGGTGGATAATCCAAATATTCGTTGGTAAAAGAGCAGCCCGAGTACACAAACTTCCTCCCCTCAGCCGTCTAGAGCAGAGATGGGCGCCACCAGGTACATCCAGTCTAGAACAGAGGAGGGGGACAGCAGGTGGGCCAGTTGGCATAGGCCTACGATTTTGAGGGGGCCTACTTCCGAATACAGAATAAACATGAATGTGCTATTATATTTACTGCTTCTTATTACAGTACTGTACTCTATTGTCTTGTATACATTTTGAATGAAATTGCTTGTCCTAACTTTTATTTTTTTTTTTTTTTTTTTTTTATTTAAATCGTTCTAGTTCTTTTATTCAATTCTTCTTACTTGTAAGTACATCATTTACACACCCATACATAAATCATATGTATTTAGCACTGATTACAAAAATACTTAATGAGCAGTTTGAAATGGGGGCCTACTACCAGCTTTGCACGGGCCTGGGTATATCTGTCCGAGAATCACCAGTGATAGACCAGCATCTAAGTTGTCTCTACGGTCTCGAGAATTAAAAAGATTAAATGTGAAAGAAATAAGAAAAAGAAAACAGAAGTGCTCACACCTTTTGCTTGTTGTTTCTCATCCATTTCTCAGCTCTTCCAAGTATCCTATCGGTGATTCTGAGCATATACTGCGCAGGAGCTACATGAAAAACCTTGGTAGCCACACTTGATAAGGTGTCTTCGCCGTACTCCTTTGCGTAGGCCAAAACCTACGACAAAATAGAATACAAAATAAAGTATATAGCCGACCTGCATAGTTAAACAATTTCATGCAAAATAGCTAATACGTGAGAAGTACTGCCATCTAGGGTACATATACTCAAGTTCCACACACAAAAAAACACTTAAACCTGTGGAAGTTATACCAAATGTGCACACTGCATACACCTAATACAAATTCACTGTAAAACAGACAAATTAAAATATATCGCCTTACCTTTTCTGTCGGAGATGCAAGTAAAGGATGTTTTCTTTGTATTCCATCTAGCCAAATACAGAAACCAGCGTCTACGTATTCCACTAGAAATGAGATAAATTAAACAAACATATTAAGGCTAGCGAGGAGTTTTTTGATAACAATGGTAAACACTTATAGAAAAGTGTGCAACTTTGAGCAGTTACTTTTTATTTTAAACGGTTCAAATTGCAACTACTTAATATAACATCTACATAAAAACAATGAACTACAAGCTAGGCGGCAGTAGTAGTTAAAATTTGGAGAGGCAAAAAGAAATGCCATATACGTATATTCTTGTGTGTGTGTGTGTGTGTGTGTGTGTGTGTGTGTGTGTGTGTGTGTGTGTGTGTGTGTGTGTGTGTGTGTGT